GTTAAGACATCATGATGTTCCCTGACAACTAAAGACCAGCAGCCTGTTGCACCAGCTGTGTTCAAGTTCAAACTAAGCCTAGTTATAACTTAAATTAAATTAAATTAAGTTGTGATTTATGCATTACCAAAATAAAAGCTAGATAATAATAACATAACTCTACAGAACAACTAAATTGCCACACAGCATCCTTGTTTTCATTAAATGCATGCCCTCGTTCAACACAGTAGAAACCACATTTGTTGATATAACCTTTTAATATCAATCTAGCTTACTACAATGTGCCAACTGTCTTATGCCAGCCAGAAAGCTAACAGGCGCGGTAACCATGGCGATGGAACTTGACCTTTGATCGTTCATTGGCCACTTGCCTTAGTTACGACTTTATGTCCAGACTAGTTACGCTATGCCCAAAGTAAGTGTGGTGCAACCAACCTGAGGAACTGATTCAGTTACAAACTAACTGGTAGTTATTAAGCCTCCAGTGTCGACTTTACACCCTAACAAGGAGAGAACTGCCAGTGTCCAACGAGGATCCAGGCTGATGCTCACACCCTAGATACATACTCGCAGGAGAAACTGTATCGTGCTCAGACTGCTTGTCGTATCATGTGAGCTAGAAATGATGTGTTACTATGTGCACACAGCATGTATTATGTAGGTATGTGTCCGTATCAGTCTCTCACCTGTAACAGTTACGATGATGTACTGGGGTGAACTGCCCTGACCATTACTCTTCTGGACCACAGAGTGCTGGATTTCAGGGGTCACATAGTGCTGCGTGGGAGTGGTCAGAACCACTGCCTTCTGGCTCTGGGCCTGGGTGGGCGGCGCTTGAGAACAAAGTGCATCCTGTCCTGTTTTTGAGGCGGTGGCTGATTGGTTCGCTGATGCAATGGTTCCAGAGGTTGGTGGGATCTCGGACAGGAAGTGTGCCGTCTTTGCTGCCGAGGGTGTGGTGGCAGCAGGTGTTGCTATGGTTACTGTGTTGGCCTGCTGAGGCTGAAGGTCCTCTGAGTACCCAGAAGTTGCCATGGCAACCAATGCTTTGAGAGACTAGTTCTGTGGATAAGAAAAAGATGGCACTCTTTACATTTACATTACAGTTCTTGTAATATTATTTCTCCCATCTATGTTTTGGCCACGCAGCAGTATGAGTGTGAGCTCACACATCGAGGTGTGTGTGTAACATAAACCAGAGGAGGAAGTAGGGCTTTTGTCTGAGACTAAGCAGTAGACCAGAGCTTTTCCTGTCTGAGCCTGTATGAAACCCAACCCATAAATAAAGCAATGGATTACATTTCCAAAACTGAACGTGATCATGCTGCTTCAAGTGAAATACAACCACTAAATATGAACATGGACAGTCCAAATAAACTCATATTAATCAGTGGACCCACTGTCAGTCAGGACTTGAGCCATCCCACTGGAGATAAGCCACTCCTGCGTAAACCAACACGGAAAACAAGACAATCAGATGATCATCCGCACACCGTGTTCACGGGAGTGACCTGCCCAGTTCAATGTCAGCCCAAAAACTTTTCCAAAGTCACAAAAGGATAATTAAACACACTCCACTCATAACTCAGTGTTCAGTACTCGTATACGATTTAGTTGCGTGAGCAGTTTCATGTGCTTTTCTATCTCTAATGTCTCTAGGCATCTTGCTTGAAAAGTGAGTTGGGAAAGCGAGAGTGATAGCTTCCCCAGCTAGCAGCTCACGTTGAGTTGTGACGTTAAAGCGAGCCAGCTCGTTGCTACTAGTTACTCGTGTTAGAGAGTCAGTAAATCTATGACCACGCCACCAATCGCGCCTCACAATACATTCATCGTAATCGAAAGTGTGAGAAAACAGCCTGAACATTCAAACAAATTGTCGAAAAAAAGTAGGTTTGGCACCACAACACACCCGCCATCTTGTGCTCTTATCACAGATCTGACATCGCCATAACAACGGTCTGCGTTTGGAGAGCAGCTAGCAACCACTTTCATCACCGACACGCTCGACCGATTTCACGTTAACGCTGACGACATACAAACAAGCACACGTATATATATATACACGAAATGAAATGATAATTCTGATATATTTTACTTTTTCACCTCCAGTTTATCCCAGTATTGTCCTTTTATGGTCGTTCAAGTTTTTTTTCCTTGGATTTAGGTTGTTATTGTTGACTCCCGTTGCTTGGTTCTTGTCGCCAGGACTACCGTGACTATGGCGCCTTGCCTTCACCGGGGCAACTGTTGCTACCCTCTCGTCATCGCCCCGCCCTACACTTAATGCTGATTGGCTGGCTTGGGAGGTGGTAGCTGCGTCAGTTAAATAAACGATCGCTGATTGGCAGACGAGCCGTGTCTGTCACTTTCCCCAGAGCCTAACGTCAAATGACTGCTTCTAATGTTACTTTTCTGATGGCTCAAAATGTCAAGCAGATAGATGGAAAAATATGGAATGTCATGTCATTAATTTCACATAAAATGTTTCTGCCGCTGCTTATCTGCTCTGCCCCCTCTATATATCTTATACATAATTAATATTGTATAACATTCAGAAGTTCACAGTTGATTTGAGTCTCTGCAGAATCACCGGTTGGCCTCTGAAATCTTTCTGTAGTGTGTGTGTGTGTGTGTGTGTGTGTGTATGCATCAGTTGTAGTGAACACCAACATATAGCACCCTAGTTATCCTTGGGGTGAAGGGATAGTGATCTCCATCCAATGCAAGGCAGAGCAGACAGCGAGACGGAGATTGTGCTGGTGACACACAGCGCAACCCAACTGATATAAGGGACAGAAAGGCCAACAAAAGGTCACAGGTGTTGATTAGATAGCCAAGAACCCTGTTGACATCTTCTCTGGCATCATTTGCTACTTAATCACAACTTTTCTTTTTCTCTATGTTCATTGTTGCCCTTAAAGGTCTCCGGTCTTATCTCTGGGCATGACGAAGAGTGGAGGTGAATTGAGGTCCTTCTCTGAGATGCTGAGGCCTATATAAAGTAGGAGCTGTCCAGAAAGACACACAAACCACTCAGACAACCTCAAGCAAATTTCCAGCCTTTGAGACACCTTACGACATCTTTTCACTCTCAGCATGTGGAAGGCATCACTCTTGACCCTGGGCTTGTTGGTGGCATTGGTACACAGGGTGCGGTCCAATGACGGCCATCCCTCTTTCTATGGGGTGAAACTGTGTGGAAGAGAGTTCATACGAGCTGTCATCTTTACCTGTGGTGGTTCTCGCTGGAGGAGAAGCATAGGAGACTCAGGTAAGAGCGTGTGTGTGTGTGTGTTTGTGAGACTATGGATATAAGTTGATTTTTTATGATATGTTTTCCTAGAGTCAAATTGTAATATTAAGGGATTTCCCCTTGTTTTTTTTTTATCAGCTTTTGTTGGAGAAGAGGCCTTTGACCCATGGAACACAAATCCCATCCCTCAACTCACCAGCGAGCAGGATCCTGCAGAGCCCCAAGCATGGAGAGATCAAACATCGGACGTGGCATCTGTGGCTGCAGGATTCAGCCGCTCAGCTCGCTCCCCAATCTCAGATGAGGTGCTGGAGGCGTTACGGAGTGCAGACAGGAAAGGACGGGATGTGGTGGTTGGACTGTCCAACGCCTGCTGCAAGTGGGGCTGTAGCAAGAGTGAAATCAGCTCCCTGTGCTGAACCTCCTTTCTCCTTAAATATTTGTCTTGTCCTGTCACTAATGCAGAGCTCTACTCTTTTCCTATGTGATTCCTTCATTCCTTCACATTTAAAACTTTTACAAGTCCACACCCCATCCAACTCACCATCCATGTGTTGACTATTGATACAGGAATGTGACTGTGTACTCATAATGTGTCTACTGGGATTGTCGCTGATTGATATATGTTTAATAAAGCTGTTTGTACTTGGTATGAAAGTCTCTGTTCCTCTTATGAAAAGGATACTAAAATGATGTTAGAATACTTCCACTTTTTTCCAAAGCCTTGTTTCAGAAATAGTTTTGACAAAGCATTTCGAAATGAAAGGAAGTGTGACTACACATCATGGTGTGGTGTTATATTCAATCAAGTATAGCTGCTTCCTGTGATTCTACAGGGGTTAATACCTGTATAGGAACATATTTACCAAACCCCTGAAATCCAGTACAATAGACCTGCAGCACACTGCCTCTGTGAAGCCGATACCTTTAGACCTTTATTGTTTATTTCAGTGTGTCCATGGGAGTTTGAGATGACTCATCACAGTCATGTTGAGACACATTATCATACAAACTGGACATAACAAGGTTCACAACGGTAGTAATTGTTGTCAGCCAGCAGTGGTGTTGATGATATTGTGTCCACGCCCAGTGGAAAGCTGCACGAATGTGAAGCTGACACCATCTGCTGGTCACAAATGAAACACAACACAAAACGAGAATTAGAAGAATGTGATAAACAATTAAATTAATTTAAGAAAACGTTAAACACTAATAAACAGCTGTACACCGGCTATCTAACAAACGATGCGCTCAGTAGTTTCTGTTGTCTACTCGGTTACCTTACCGACGGTCTGACCAGTACGGAAGCCGAATATGATCACACGGATCACCCGGCTTGATTGCAATGCATGCAATCTCTGTCACATACCAGCTAGCACAGCAACTGCACATATCCACTGATACCAGAAGTTTGTGTTTCGGCTACATAGATCGCAGTCCTCTTTAATTTAATGTTCGTAGTTATATCGGGGCTGCACTTTCGTCTGTAGAAATATAGATCTCCCGCATCGGAGCGACCAGGTAAAACCTTTCGCGGCACTTTCAAGATGATGCTAGGTAGCCATGCTACTGGTAGCTGCCGGGCTTGATATGCTCTGTTGTGACTATCAATGCGCTGCGTTTGCGCCGTGTTTGTTGCTTTGATTACAAACAGTGCTTTGACAGCGTCCTAACAGATAACGTAAGACGGCGCCTGGCAGCTGTTTTCTGTGTGAACAGCGACGCTAAGCTAGCTCGCTATGTGACTGAGCCAGACGTTTGCGCCTGTTCCGTCTGGGCCTAATGTGGAGGAAGCTGCTGGGTCGAGATTGATGCTCAGACAACTGGAACTTACTAAATACGACTGCGCAGCGGGGCTTTTAGGTTTCATGTAGCCGGGGACGGAACATGTTCACAAACGTTAAAGCTTCACCGACAGTGTTTCGCTGCACTGTGGACAGATATTTCCAGTGGATGTGACCGTAGCTTTCTGTCTGAAATCAATACTAATATTTGACAAGTTGTTGTTATTGGTAACGGCAGCTAACGCTTGTTAGCGGTGCTGCGTAGCTTACGTTATTGTACGTGATCTGAGTGGTAACGTCCGGAGTGGGGGGGGGTGTCACAGGTCACAGGTGGGGCTGGATGTGTAGCGCATGCTTCGTAAACAAGTAATGTGTGTTTTTGTGTCCTGTAGGATGGAGTGGCAGCCAGATGAGCAGGGTCTGCAGCAAGTGCTTCAGCTACTCAAAGACTCCCAGTCCCCAGATACAGCAACACAGAGAGCTGTGCAAGAAGTATCCTTTTATCTCTGTGTGTGTGTGTGTGTGTGTGTGTGAGAGTGTGTGAGAGAGAGAAAATGGTGTGAGATTTGAGCCTGTCTCTCTGAGTGGATGACAATGAAACCTGACTGGGTGCGATGTCATGCGCAGCTTGCATCAAGTGCGATTGATAGTGTATTTATCCACACTGCTCAAATGTCTAACTTGAACACAAGGTATTGGAGGGTGTGTGAGCTGTTGCTATGTGTGTGTGGATGGTTCAGATCCTTAACAGAGCCTGCAGAAACTGGAGCAACTCAACCAGTTTCCAGATTTCAACAACTATCTCATCTTTGTCCTCACAAGTCTCAAATCTGAGGGTGTGTGTGTGTGTGTGTGTGTGTCAAAAATACGGATACTAATGATAGAGCAGCAGTGTCATTTTACTGAATAACCTTCCTAACCTCGCTTCTCCCGTGTAAATATTTATATAGCTAACCTCCTCTTCCCCGTTTTTAAAATGTATTTATACTCTGCCTCTCTGCTGCCTTCCTTCTCAAGACGAGCCCACACGCTCCCTGAGCGGCTTGATACTGAAGAATAATGTTAAGGCTCACTACCAGAACTTCCCTCCCAATGTGGCTGACTTCATCAAACGAGAGTGCCTCAACAACATCGGAGACCCTTCGCCGCTCATCAGAGCTACGATCGGTGGGTATCTGAGTGAGAAAGAGAGAGCTAGTGTTGGCTGCGTTTTCTAGCCAGTATGAGTCACAGCTCGTCACACGGCTGTATGTAGGTGGCTGAATTTTTGCAGGTAATGTGGCTGTGTGGGAGTGAGCACTGTATTTTGTTTTTAAATGATTGAATGCGATGGTGGGTTATCGAGTTGTTTCTCCTGCATTTTAAGGCCTGTGTTACCTTTTTATTATCTGTTATAAAGGTATCCTGATTACGACCATAGCCTCTAAAGGAGAGCTGCAGACCTGGCCAGAACTGTTGCCTCAGCTCTGTAATCTGCTCAACTCGGAGGACTATAACACCTGCGAGGTCAGACTCACCTGTCTGCACACACTAATAGCTTTGTAATGTTAATGTGATAATCCGATTTATTTCTGTTTCTTTTGCCTTTTAACATTATTTCTTTATGATTTGTTTTGCCTTTCAGGGTTCTTTCGGAGCTTTGCAGAAGATCTGCGAGGATTCATCAGAGTTGTTGGACAGCGATGCTCTGAACAGACCTCTCAACATCATGATCCCCAAATTCCTACAGTTTTTCAAGCACTGCAGCCCCAAGATCAGGTCGGTGAAACACCAGGGGTTTTTCTTTCTGACTCTGTCTCTGCTGGCTCTTTTCTTCCCTCCTCAGCCTTTCCACTGACTCTCTCTTTGAAATCATCGTTATAGATCCCACTTGTTTGTGTCTCTCTCAGGTCCCATGCTATAGCGTGTGTGAACCAGTTCATCATTGGTCGAGCTCAAGCTCTAATGGATAACATTGATACCTTCATTGAGGTTGGTACTACAGGATTGTGATTTGGTTTTACTCATAAGATTCACCTTCAGCCCTTTTCACAGTTGCAAGTATGTAGCAACGTATCTTTCTGTAAAATGTATGTGTTTTCACTTTCAAACACTGATCCCTGTTACGGATAACTTCCATTGTTCTATAACGTTATCCAGCTTTGTCTATGCTGTGTTTGTGCGATATTTTGGCATCCACACATTTGTTGACCTTGCACATTCTTCCCCCCTCTCTCTCCCACACATCCCCTGACTCTCCTTGTCTCTTTCCTATCTAGAGTCTGTTTGCACTAGCTGGAGACGAGGACAGTGAAGTGCGGAAGAACGTGTGCAGGGCTCTGGTCATGCTGCTGGAAGTCCGCATTGACCGCCTCATCCCACACATGCACAGCATCATTCAGGTGAGGGTGGGACTCGGTCTCACACCCCACTTTAAACAGAAAGTGTGTGGCTTTTCCTTCCTTCCTTTGCCTTATCATCATCAACATCACCTCTTGTTATCTGTCACCAGTACATGCTGCAGCGGACCCAGGACCCAGATGAGAACGTGGCTCTGGAGGCCTGTGAGTTCTGGCTGACTCTGGCTGAACAGCCCATCTGTAAAGAGGCTCTATCTGGCCACTTGGTCCAGTAAGTGTTCACATGCCAACAGTTTGTAGGAGCTGAAAATCAAGTGTAAATTTCATCTCAGAAGTAACATGGTTGTCCCTTTTTTCAGACTGATTCCTATTCTGGTGAATGGGATGAAATACTCTGAGATTGACATCATTCTTCTGAAGGTGAGCCAGCCCTGGATAAATCAGATGCTCCTCATACAACCTGTCTTCTCTTCTCGTCTCTTCCTTTCTGTGTCCGTTCTGCATTCACCTTTCTCTCTGTTGTCGTCCAGGGCGATGTTGAAGAGGATGAGGCGGTTCCAGACAGCGAGCAAGACATCAAGCCTCGCTTCCACAAGTCCCGCACCGTCACTCTGCAGCACGAAGGAGGGGAGGGCGAGGAAGGAGAGGACATCGATGAAGATGAGGACGACGATGATGATACACTGTCTGACTGGAACCTACGTAAGTTACAGATGAAAGATAATTTATAGTCTTTTAACAACATTTTGAGCAATGTTTAAAGCTTGGTAAAGAATGTTTTTTAATAACTTAATAATTTTATTGCAAGTCATCTAATACTGATGGTTGCCCCCCCCCCCCAGGGAAGTGTTCAGCCGCGGCGTTGGACGTTCTTGCCAATGTGTTTCGTGAGGAGTTACTTCCCCATCTCCTGCCCCTGCTCAAAGGCCTTCTTTTTCATCCTGACTGGGTTATTAAGGAGTCTGGCATCCTAGTGCTGGGGGCTATCGCTGAAGGTGAGACTCAGCACAGACTTGCTATTGAAATACAACAGAAAGGAATTATTTCAAGGTCAATATGGTGACCTGTAATCCATGAATATGTTTTAATATTTTCATTGCCTGAGATAAAGAACAGAACTTCACAACAGTGACGAGAGAGCAGGCTAGCTGCTCCAGCCTGTTTCCACTCTCTATGCTAAGCTAAGCTAAGCTAACCAGCTGCAGGAAGTAGCCTTATATTTCATGTGCACATGTGAGAATGGTATCGATCTTCTCGTATTTCTGTTAGCAAGAAAGTGAAAAAACATATTAAGATGTATGAAACCTTTTTGTGCTTCCAGGCTGTATGCAAGGCATGGTTCCTTACCTGCCTGAGCTCATCCCCCACCTCATCCAGTGTTTGTGCGACAAGAAAGCCCTGGTCCGCTCCATTGCCTGCTGGACCCTGAGCCGCTACGCCCACTGGGTGGTCAGCCAGCCCCCTGACGCTCACCTCAAACCCCTCATGACTGAGCTGCTCAAACGCATCCTGGATGGTAATAAGAGGGTACAGGAAGCA